CATTTTTCTAGCTCCTGAGGTTCAGATTCTTTCATTTCCAGATTTCACTGGAAAGTTTTGTTATTAGTATCTAATTCCAAAGTCTGTGCTATTTCAAACCAAGAGTAACTTGTTTATTTTCATCAGAATCATCTATTTTCTTTCTAAGTAATGCCTTAACCATATTTATTTATTTAGTTTATTGAGGTTACAATAGTTTATAACATTAAGAAATTTCAGTTGTACATTGTTATTTGTCAGTCACCATATAAATGTGTCCCTTCACCCCTTGTGCCCACCCCCCAACTCCTTCCCCTCTGGTAACCACTAAACTGTTCTCTTCATCTGTGTTTTACTTTATTTTCCACATATGAGTGAAATCATATGGTGTTTGTCTTTCTCTGTCTGGCTTATTTCACTTAACATAATACCCTCAAGGTCCATCCATGTTATTGCAAATAGGATGATTTTGTCTTTTTTTAATGGCTGAGTAGTATTCTGTTGTATATATGTATATACCACATCTTCTTTATCAATTCATCGGTCAATGGGCACTTGGGCTGCTTCCATGTCTTGGCTATAGTGAATAATGATGCAATGAACATAGCGGTACACAGGTCTCTTTGAATTGTTGATTTCAGGTTCTTTGGATAAATACCCAGTAGTGGGATACCTGGGTCATATGGTATTTCTATTTTTAATTTTTTGAGAAATCTCCACACTGTTTTCTATAGTGGCTGCACCAGTTTGCGTGAGTCCCTTTTCTCCACATCCTCTCCAACATTTGTTGTTTTTCATTTTGGTGATTATAGCCATTCTAACCGGTGTAAGGTGATATCTTAGTGTAGCTTTGATTTGCATTTCCCTGATGATTAGTGATGCTGAGCATCTTTTCAAGTGCCTATTGGCCGTCTGTATATCTTCTTTGGAAAAATATCTGTTCGTATCCTCTGCCCTTTGTCTAAGCCATATTTTGAGTGAAGAATGAGTCAGGGGTTTTTCAGTAAATCCTACTTCTACCAGCTGCATGAACTGTGGCAATTAAGTAGGGTTTAACAGGGTTTGGGTGCTAAAGAAGACACACAGGACCCTAAGTGACAATGCTAACAAATCTACAGTTTATTACGGGAACAAAAATATAATGTAGCACAGTATTAAAGTAAAGATATGCATCACAGCCGAAGGCTGTCTTAGAGCAAGAGGTCTGGGAAGGCCAGATGCAAGGTCCTATTACCTTTCTTTTGTAAAAGCCAAGAGAGAACCCATTTTCTCTCTTGGATCAGGGACCATCAACATGTGCATGGAACACGTTGGAATAGGGAGCCCAAAGTGGAGTTTGAGTTTTTTTTTTTTTAAATATTGTGCTAGTCACATAGGCATAGTCTTGCTATGTAACGAGCCTCAATTGCAGAGCCATTTGGGGGGAGGGGTCTCACTGAGACCAGGTGAAAATCATCAGTCTGACTATTATCAGTAAATAATGCTAAGAAACTGACCTAAACTACTCTGAAGCTCCTTGAACCCGTGAGTTACAAAGCAATACTCTTAATCAGTTTCTGTCATGCCTTGACCAGGGGTCAGAACCCTGGAGGAACTGTAACAAAGCCGTTCAGGTTAGCTCTGGTCCTACCACGGTTAACTCTCACAGCACACAATTTATCTCTGGATAGTGCTTTCTAGTTTACAGAGTGTTTGGAAGGTTTTTACCAACTTGAATAAGCTGATATTATCATCCCCATCTTACGAATGAAGAACATGAGGTTCAGAGTGTTTGTGACTTGCTCAAGGTGACCCACACTGTTACCGAACCTGAAGTGAGTTCGCTCACCCGTTGCGCAGCAAGCCAATCTCTGACACCGGGGGTGGTGGAAGAAAGTAGGAACTTTATTTTTGCACAGTGCTGAGCAAGGAGAGAGGGCAGCTAACGCTCAAACTCCAAAAACTCCCCGAAAAGCTAAAAGGAAGGGTTTTTATTTGGGGCTTTAGGTAGGGGAGGGGGAGCATATGGCCTTGCTGGTCGGAGCTTTCCCACCAGCCTGTCTTTGGCCTTGAGACACTTGCAGAGAGGAGAGAGCTCATGACCTTGCTGGTCAGGAGCTTTCCCACCAGTCTGTATCTCTTTGTGGGGAGGAGACAGTCCAGGTGCTTGTCCTTGACGGTGTCTGTCTCCATGGAGCATAGTGGATTCTGGAGCCAGGAAGCCAGAGAGTAAGCAGGGAATGAGTGTTTTGGTTTTAACCCCATATATGCTGGGTTTAGTGTGGGGAAGCTGATATCAGGGTCGATATCAAAACTGTGAGCCCCAGAGCCAGGTCTCGACCCCAAATCCCGCCTCCAACCAGTGCCTCCCACTCTCCTTCCTGCTGTCACATACCCTTCTTCCTAGTAAACTACTATCTTATCCTCAGTGAGTCCCTTATTGTTACTACCCATGAAAGATGTCATTGGTAATGTCAGTGGTAATGACAGAAAAAGGTGTTCTGTCAGAATTCAAATTTCTTCTTTTACGAGGAAGAAATTTCACTTATTCAACAAGTATTTATTGATTCAATATTTCATTGAGTGTAAGATGGTCATTGATTTACTAACACGTTTTCAGAAAAAAATTACATGGTGTGTATGAAAATAGTGGAGTGAAACGTTTTTTTTTCCTATTTGGACTTTGATGCACAGAGCTGACAAAATTTATTTTTAACTCATGACAGAATATATTTATCCTGACTCAATGACCCACCACGTTGCTCTTCACCTTCACAATCCAAGTTTAAGTTTAATCCATATTCACCAAACTGTAAATATGCATTTAAATGACCCTTGGTCATTGGCAGTGTTCACTGCTTGCATTGGCGTGCTTGTCAAAGCCTCTACTTATACCTTGGATTACTTTAACAACTTTAAGATTGAGGGTATGATCTTGAGGATAGAAGCTTTATCTTCAGTTTAAGGACTTTCTACAGAAATTAAGCAGCTTCTTTTGAAAACCAGCTGAAAGCTGTTGATACCTTTGTCAAAAGATATATGTTTGGGTCTGCACTCATTCTCTGTCATGACTCATGAATGACTCACACCAACGTCTCCAAGATTTGACCTATTTTAAGGTACTTAGCAACTTCTACTGCCTTTGTCATCTGCACACTCAGCAACTTTGTAGTTCAATGGTAAATCATAGTGTTTTTTGTTTTTATTAACTATTTAGTAGATACAAAATAATATTTGTAAGTTATGTATAAAATACAAACAATGACAATTCAATAAATAACTGTGTAACCATCACCCTCTTTAAGATAAAAAACATTTCTATTACCTTTGACATAACCTGTGTACCCCTCCCCCGTTCCATCCTCTTAACACTTATCCTGAAGTTTGTGCATCTTTTTCTCATGCTTTTTGTCAGAGTTCTATGAATTATATATGCATCTTTAAACAATATGTTGATTAGATTAGCATATTTTAGAATTTTATGTAATGGAATTATGCTGCAATGTATCATTTTGTGATTTGCTTCCCCAGCACATTATATTCTGAGGTTGATCCTCATTGTTGTGTTGGCTGTTTTCAATAATTTTCACTGCTCTTTTGTATTTGATTATATATGAATATACCAAAGTCTATTTTTACATTTGACTGTAAGGGAATTGGTTTTTGTCCTCAATTCTTAGTCATTACAAAAAGTGGTGCTATAAACATTATTAGGTCTACTTGTGCAGATGTGCAAGTGTTTCTCCAAGACAATGTATCCTCCAGAGAGGAAGTCTATCTTCAAGTTTACTGGATAATGCCAAATTATTTTGAAAAGTGATCGTACCAAATTATACTTTCATCAGCAGTGATTAATATACGAGCATAGAAACACACACACACACACACCATACATACCTATGCATGCACCCACCCTATATTCACACCCACCACACACTAAACATGCGTACAGATCCACGTGTGTGCATGGGAAACGGCCTTGTACATAATGCATACTGACACAGACAGATCTGCTCCACGTATGCACGCTTAACTGTTACCGAAACCAAAGTGGATTCCCTCCTGGTGAGTTAAATCAGACTCTCCACCAGAAGTAAGTTGTCTCACAAAGGCTATTTGTAGCAAATAGGAGGCCATGAGGAAGCACTTCCAAAGTCATGGCATTCCCGAACAAAGGGAAGCAGGGACACTCATTTTGGATAGGAAATGAATATTCAAAAGGGGGGGGGGTTTGCTTGCGCAGGCTCAGTTGGAAACCATGCTTCCACCTACACTGCAGGCTATGAGAATAGAACTTAGGCTCCTCCTGGAGAGATTTTAGCATTAAAAATAAGGCAGGGGCTGGCCCTGCGGCGCAGCGGTTAAGTTAGCAGGTTCTGCTTCGGCGGCCCAGGGTTCGCCAGTTCAGATCCCGGGTGCGGACATGGCACCTCTTGGCAAGCCATGCTGTGGCAGGCGTCCCACATATAAAGTAGAGGAAGATGGGCATGGATGTTCGCTCAGGGCCAGCCTTCCTCAGCAAAAAGAAGAGGATTGGCAGATGTTAGCTCAGGGCTAATCTTCCCCCCTCCCCCCTCCAAAAAAAGGCAAAGGTCTTAGGCATAGCTCTTGTGGTGAGGCTTGGTCTGGTTCAAGGTGGTTGTTGATTACATCTCCTTGATGTAACAAAAGGAAAAAAAAAAATTTGGAAAAACAGTTAAACGCTTCCAAACCCACCCTTGAGTTCCTCGCGGCAACTAGTCGGTGACATTACCACAGTCCCACTCTCACAACAGCACACTCACACGCAGAAACACACATACTCCATGCCTGCACGCACACAGCCCACGTGCTCGGTTGCAAGCCCCCCTTGTGACCCAACCAGGAAACGTGGTCTTCTCCACCCTCGACTGAGGAATCTTGTCCCAGCCGCGCTGCCGTTGGGCGCCAGGTGTCGGAGGTCACGGCAGCGTGGGCGGTGGCTTTTTTTTTTTTTTTTTTTTTTTTCTCCTACCC